GTGGGTTCCTCGTCATCGAAAAATCAAACCTGTTAAAAGGAGAAATAACACACGACCTATTACTCCAGAAAACAATGAATGGTACTCTCCAGTTTGCACAACAAACTTTAAACACCATAATGAATTATCGTACGTCGACCAACGATATCGCATTGTTGTGTGCTTATAACTCATACACATTGCAAACTGATTCGGACTACAACACAGATACGCTTCCTTCGATACTGCAAACTTCAAGATGTGATTCATGCCGACTTAGAAAATATTGTAAACTACCTAATTTTTTGGCCAATTTAAACAGATCTATTTTTAGACACGAAAAATATTTCCAAGGACTACTATCAGATATGATTGATAATAACTTTATAAAAAAGAATTATCATCAACATGTAAGCAATAGCAATGAATTGATAATAACGCAATGTGATCAGAACGAATTTCGTCAGTGGGTTGATGAGATTAAGCATGCTATTTCCAGAGTAGGACAAGCTTGCATCAACCACAGCGATTACCACGTTAACAAGAATGACATGTTTACAGTTCTAACAAATCAGCACCTTCCACAAGGTACAGACTCTCTTCGCAAGAGGCCCAAGGCTTTGAAGTTCCTTTTATACGAAATGACAAAGTACGTCTACAAATTGTGTCATCATTACAACAGAAATCTTATCAAATCCGAGTTAAAGAAAAACCTTAACGCGAAGCTGAATGCGATAATACATATGATGATACGCTGAATAATGCAGAGACTATCCTGATTCATCAACCATCCGAAGACAAGTCTATAAGATCTACTGAGTGGATCTATGAAAATGGTGAAAGCTCAAGTAAAATTCAAACCACAGAATGAGAAGAGATTCGCGTTTTACATAATTATTGCATTTTAAAATTCCCATTTGATCGGCCATGTTCGTTTTCATGAAAAATAGATGAAGACATTGAACATAGTTGTAATAACCTTAGATATAAAATAGACTTCTTACGAAAAGGTATTATGGGGTGTAGACCAAGAAGAAATTTAAATTTTTCAGAAAAGACAGCCTTGAGTAGTCTTAAATGTAATAGTAACCTAATTATAAAAGTTTCTGATAAAAGTAACAGTTTTATGGTTATGGATAAAGATGTATATGTAAAGAAGATAAATGACCATCTCAACAATGAAAACAATTACAAAACACTACAACAAGATCCTACTAATAATATTGAGAAAAAGGTGTAAAAATTTAATTAAACAGACCAATAAAACTCAACACTTCATAAATATGTATCAAATAACCATATTCCAAACAACAGCAAACCACCAGAATTCTACGGTCTTCCCAAGGACCACAAAGAAAGTATCCCTTTGAGACTCGTTTTGTCAGCCAACGGTAAAAGTCTCGTGGCTCGTAGTTATACTATTTCACAATTGTTTGCATTTTATTCCTACAAACTTAAAAAAACACTCAAGATTTTCTTAAAACCCTCGATTCAACTAGTAACATAATTAATTCCGATAGTATATTATTCAGTCTGGATGTTGAGTCGTTGTATCCATCCATCTCTACTGATAAAAGGGTCGATTTAATTATGGAATTTGTAGAGAATCATAGTAGATTTAGCGAGATACATGATTCAACACATCAAGGACATGTTAAATTTGGTGCTGAGAAACAGATAATTTCGGTTTAATGAGGGCTACATCAACAGTTATCACGTGTTGCTATGAGTAACTGTGTAGCTGTAACATTTTTAGTTATTTACACTGATATAAGGAAACGCATAATAAGCTAGACATATTGGTCAGATATACAGAAAACATATTTAGGATTTGAATGACTCTTTAATCAATTTACTACTATGATTTCCTCAATGACTTCTATCTTACTCTAAAATTCACTAACAGGTACTCCAAAGAATCAAACATGTCCTTCCTTGATATTCAAATTATCCTAAAAGATGGCAAACTTATAATTGAACTGCATCATAAGTCTTGCGAGTAACCAGCGTTTTCACATTAGCACTCATACCACCTACTGCACGTTAAACGCGCGACTATTGTCCGACAACTAAACCGTATTAGTAAGACTTGTACAACTAATGAAGGTAAATTCAAAGCTATACAAGAACCTCTACATAAATTAAACATTAATGGATATCCACACACACGTTTATTCATAAGACTTTACGAAGCTAGGAAAACAGAGCCCACAGCAACAATACAGAAACATTACCATGTGTAGTTAGGGGTGTGCCCCTGTGCCCAAAGGATGACACTTCAGTGAGGGAGGGGTCGCCAGGCGTGAATCAGGCAATAGGGGTGGGGGAGAAACAATAACATTATTGTTCCACGAAGTTTCACCAGCGGGTTAGCTTAATAGGGCGCCATGACATGAGGAAGTTGTAAATTCGCCGAGACAACAAAAGTTGTTAAGAAAGGGTTTAATCAAAGAGCGCGTTGCTAGGCTAGCCATAATGATCTTATCATAGTGTATCTCAACGTGTGATTACGTAATCAGTCTAGATTTAATTATGTTTTAAAAGTTACAAGTAAAACTAACATTTTAATAACATAAGTACTATAACATTGTTACACATTTCAGTTTTTATCACGCACATTATCCATCATTTGAATGAGGCAAACATTATATATTGTTACGTCTCTGGTCGTTAATTAACAACGAACGAACGAACGATTCACGCGCTTGGCTCAACTGTCAGTCTCTATCTCTGTCTGCAGTTCAATTACATTGTTGTCGTCACTTCTTGGCGGTCTTATATACAAGAATACTGAAAATATAGTAAACACTCGAGGCTTCATGAAGGGACATGATTTTTCTAGAAGTTCA